TTAATGTCCCATGGGGTGGTGAGCCGTAACATTTGGGGTTATCTTTTCCACTGCAGCAAAATCAACCTGTTAGCATTAATCCCACAGAGCCTGTGCCCGGGCCTGCGGGAAACGCTGAGGCAGGGCGGGGCACACCCAGGCCTGGGGGTGCTGTGAGGCCCGGAGGTGGTGTGGTGCGGCTGGGACGCTGAGCCTTGTCTTGCTGCCGACTTGCTCATGTGACCCTGAGTAGGACTCCACCTTCAGAACACGCCAGTAACACCTACCTGTCCTGAATATCATAAAAATCGCCAGGCAGCGTGAAGCATCCAGGGAAAAGCCTGCCACAAAAAAGCCTGCTGTTACAATAAACAAAACGCGTGCCTGTGCTCACCCCCTGGGTCTGCGGCCCCTGCAAGCTTTGATGCCGGTGTGGCCAGCGACCTCAGCTGTGGCCTTCCTGGGGGTGGACGCAGTGAGGAGCGGCAGTTCTGCTGTGCTGCGCATCCAGGCCTCGCCCACCCCCGGGCCCTCCGAGTCCTTTACCCAGCACACACAAAACCCACTGGCACAGCGCAGGCGGTGTGTGTCCGGACAGCTGTGAGTCAGCATCCGGTCCCTCGAGCTGCTGGTCCCCCGACATGGGCAGTAAAGACACACACTTTCCATGGAATGCCTGCTGTGTGCTGACTCGGGCTTTCCCCCCGCGGGGAGCAGGCAGATTGTGTGGTTTGGACTCGGCAGTCACTTTGGATTTCCAGTCTTCCCGGTGCTCGAAAACACCCTGGACGGCGGAAGGGACCCGCAGCCCCCGCCGTGCTCCGGCCCTGCTGGCCAGGGTTGCTGCTCTGCCTGGCGTTCAGAGCACCGATGACCTTTTAGATGCCCCTGGCCAGAGCGTCAAAACTATCATTGCAGCCAGCCGACTAGATGAGCTGGCTGTTTTCCCTCCAGGAGTAAATGCTTAAAAACGGCTTCCTGCTTCTTCCCACCGGCGGCCAGGTGTGTACCTTTGTGTTTTGGCTCCTTACCGGTCTTGGAAAACCTCAACTTCTGTTTGTCTTCATAAACTTGAAGAGGTCAACCTGGGTCGTGGGATTTACCGTGCGCCCGCCCACCCTCTGTGGGACCCCAAGTACATTGCTGCCCCCGGGCGAGCCCTTGCTTAGGCTGAGTGACCACCTGGGAGGAGAGAGCAGAAAGACACAGCGGAGGCAGCCTTGTCCAGGTTTGTTTCTTCTTTGAACCCGTGCCCAACCTGTACAGCCTCGGACAGACCCTGGGGTCTTCTGCCCAGCGAGCCCTTCCCAAAGCCCTGGGAAATGAAGTCAGGAAGCCCCAGCTGAGAGAGACAGAGCCGCGTCTCCTGTGCCTCTGGAATTACGTCCCTGCAAAGCCGTCAGGCATCCTGGCCCGGGGTGGGTGGTGACCCCGCTGTGTGGGTGGCCAAGGGACCGCTTGACCCTTGCAGCTCAGCTGGATGTGGGCTGCAGGATATTTTCCTCTTTCCGGTTCAGTTTGAAGACTTTCTATGGGAATTTTCAGTAATGGGATTGGATTCCAGCTCTGCCCCAGGGAGGGTGGCCAAAGCCCACCTGCTGACGGAGAGCAGAGGACGGCACTGCTGTCAGGGGAGTGGACGGTCTGAGGGGTCAGTTCCTACCTGGGCTATTTAGGCAAAGGAGAGCGTGTCTTTCCTGAAACAGTACTCAGCCCTGTACCTCGCAGAAGCCCTGGGCGGAAGTGAGGTACAAAGCCTTGTATGGGCGGATTCCTCACCACCAGCCCCTTCCTCGCCACCCTTGTGGGGCTGTGCTGCTGGTGTGGGGAATGAACAGAAAGTGGCTGACCACTGCTTTGGGGTCCTCCACCCTAGAAAGTTGACCAGTAGAGGGTCAGGTGAGCCCAGGGGACTATAGTTTTTTTCTTTTTTCCTTATTTTGAGACAAGGTCTCACTAAGTGGCCCATGTTGGCCTGCAACATGCAGTCTTCCTGCCTCAGCCTCCAGAGTGCCGGGGTCACAGGCTTGTGTCACTGTGGCCACGTAGGACTAT